GTTCTTGGCATTGTGCGGATTCTTGGCAGTGACACTCCGCACAAAGTCTTGCCCTGCGGCACCGTCCCTTGTTTGCTCCACCATCATCCTCCATCACATCTTGGTCTCATTTCCCCTGAGACTGCCGCCTTCCGGTCAACTCACCGCTTTCGAAATTCTCTCCCTCCTTCTCCTCTGAGTTGCAGTTGCTCGTCGTTTCTTCTTCACTTCACTCAGCTGCAGAGTAATTTTGTAACAACATCACCACGCCGGATCAGAGTCGCATCCCCGATTACTAACTGCCATATTGCAATTCATTCTCACATCTAGTAAGTTTGCTTCCCCATGTTCATTTCGTTTCCTTCTTTCAGCGGATGGAAGGCGAACGCAATCGTGTTCGATCATTAGCTAACGTTTGAACCTAGATTCAAGTAACGTTTCTGCACGACTCAATATGTCTTCGCCCGTACAGCAACGTAATATGAGGCGCGGCGGCAGAGGTCGTGGCATTCAGCCATCTGAAACCCCTCACATCTCTGATGCTGCCATGCATCAGATGACATATCCAAACTATACCAACAACCACGCTATTCCATGGACTGAGGATGTTCAGTCAAACCACCATCCCCGTAATTCAGCCAGCACTCGTGGTGCATATGCTGCTGCTCTACGTGGCTTCGCTCAGGGACCACCTTCGGTTGTTTACCATGAGGCCAAAACCGAAAACCCGGGAAATCATTATGGACCTCCTGGCCCGCCGCCACCTGCTTGGCATATCCCTCCGTCATATTACCAGAATGGGCCTCCCGTACCCTTGTATCCCGTGGCTGCGGGTAATGGGTGGATGGAGAACACAATGCCGCACGCAAACGGCATGCCACCAAATAGAAAGCGTAAGTCTGCTTCTCACAATGACATAGTAACTTGCTAACAATACTCCAGGCATGGATTCTCAGTATAGACGGCGATCACCCCCTGCTGGCCCACATGGACGTGAGATGATCTCTATATCTCGTCATGATTTTAACGAAAGTGCTCGCAAGATCGCAGAGCTCAAAAAGGAGAATGCCGAACTCAAAGAGGAAATTACCGCGCTACGTCAGTGCATGGGGCGCCAAAAGCTCGAATCACCAAAGACTCCAATTGTTTCGAATGAGAACGATCGTGTTTTCCGCAAACTTCTGGAAGAAAAAACGTCTCCCCAGAAGAGCACCCAGTCACGTGAGCGCCGCCCAACCTTTCCAGGATCTGGTCCGCCTCCGAAGATTTTCTTCGAAGGACATGGCAAGCGCGCTTTTGTTAAGGAAATGCGGCATAATGAGCTGGTCCAAGAACATTCTTCAGTTGATGCTACTCAGAAGGAAGCATCATGTGGAAGAAGAACACGGGGCAACAGCACTGTCATGGACGATGAGCATCATGCGGAGCTCAGTCAATTGCAGAATTCACACGGAAACGCCCACACTTCTTATCCTGCCATCAAAGAAGTACCAGAGGTTTACAAATCCTGTCCATGACCACGAGATACTTACTGACTTCTTTTTAGATGGGCAACGAAAATACCATTCGTGAGACCCATGCGGAAGTCGAAGCAGTGAAAAATCAGCTGCATGATAACATTGCTGCAGATCTGAATAATCAAGCAGTCGGAAACTCTCAAGAGGCTGATATCACTGATTCATCTAAATCTCAGACGTCGGAACAGGTTTCTACAAATAATAAATTGTTCTCTCTCAACCCGCTTGCGCAGGAGTTCCGCGCATTTAGCCCTGCGGAACCGGCCCCATCACCATCTACTAGTTACCAGCCCGAACCGCAGATCTGGACCCCTGAAGCTTATTCTCCACAAGATGCCGCAGGCTTCGGATACCAAGGGAACGCTCCGTACCCCGGCATGGTTTCCCAGCATTCTCAGTATGGTCCTAACGGCTATCCCATGGATTTTAGTACGCAATATAACCAGCCTTTCTATCCATACAATTCATCCTATGGACCACCAAGACAGGATGTTCAGGGTCCACAAGATTGGAAATATGTGCCAAAATCTGAACAATCAGGTGGTAGCCCGAAGTCTTCTGGAGATACCACGCTATATTCCGGAGACGGCGATGCCTTTGCATGGCAGACAGTTCCTGTATCCGCGGCTAATGGCTCAATTGTATATGACTCTGCCCCACTTCCGAAAATAGTTGTGGACAATAGCAAAAGTCCTGTTGTCGAGGAAAATATCATGCAGCCGGCCGCTACCGGAATGAATCACGAGATCACTACCATCACAGATGCTAATGTTTCTTCCGTCCACTCTGATAAAGTTATTACCGAAAATCAGGACTCTGCAACCGGTCCGGTGAAGGTAATACCCAAAGTGGTGGCAGTCCATAAGTTTGTCTGGTCCGATTGTACCTCTGATGATGATGTCGATGAATCGAAGACTGCCAAAGCCGGTGGCGTAGACACCGAAGGACATAAAATTCCGATACCCACTTCAAACAAGCCAAAAACTGACGGATCGAAAAATAACACAGAAAATATTGCGCACTCTGCAATACCAACACCCAAGAAAACCAAGAAGAAGTCAAAGCCCAAGGAATCATCGAACGAAAAGGTCGAAAAGGTCGCGACATCGGAGACAGTTTCTTCTGTAGTTCAACACGAATCAACTCCTGCAAAATCCAATAGCAACGATCCGGAAGTCACAACCGCTGTCGCGCCTGAAGAGCCCTCATTGACACGCGCGAAAGATACCAAGGCCGACGAACAAGAATCCGAGTGGTTGACGGTGGCAAGAACGCGTAAAGGCAATAAGAAATCTAATTCGAAGTCGCGCTCGTCATCTCGCGCACCCCCTCGTTCTCAGACACCTTCAATCGAGCAACAAAACGATCGTGACACTGTCCTGCCGGTTACTGCTATAAAATCCTGGGCTGCTATCGCGCAGACAGGGGTAAAGGCTGGTGAAACCCTCGAAGTGCCGCCTGTTCGACAGAAAACCGCTACCAAACCCGCGCCGGCTATCACACGTTCAGTTTCTTCACCTTTACCCGCTGTTGTCACGCCGAAGCCAGTAGTGAACCGTCGCGGAATGAGAAAAATTTACATCCCTGTTATTCCCAAGGAAACAACCTACGAAGAGCTTCTGGCGTCCATGAAAGGAGGATTAATTGACGATGTTTTTATCTCTGCACAGTCACCAAGCCGGCAGCAACACTCTGACACTTCCAACAATCATACTCGCGGTAAGAATGCTCCAGATGGGCAGAGCTTCGCGTATGTCACGTTCTACAACCAGGAAGCCACCGAGCATTGTATCAAGTACCTTCGCCACATCGACCATAAGCAGCACGGAGTCAAGGCGCCTTCTGGACCGCTAATCCAAACAGAAGGGGCACCAAAACCTGTCGCTTTTGTGACTCTTCAAGGCAAGAGATATGCAGTTTATTGCAGATTGGGGGACCAGCGGCCGCTTCAGGATGATGTCGTTGAAGTTGTTGAAGTTCAAAAAGGGACAAGGGCACTATTGTTCACTTTCCGAAAGAACGTTGGGCTCAAAGCTCCTCATACCGGAAACGCCACAGTGTGGGAGAACTGGCAGAAGTGGTTAACTAAGGATGACGGATCAGTTGGAACTGGTGAAGTTTTGAAAGCTCTTCAAATATGGGCAGGGAAGCCTAAAGTTGATATCGAGAAGATTGAATACTCCCCGGTTGCACCGGTAGCTGCGGAGCTAACCACAGCCAAGAAACAACCTTCAATCTTAAAAGCTAATTCAGGTACTTCGGCTCAGACTTTTAGGGTATTGGTACGTTGTACCCGTATATCAATTGCCGCAAAGATTAGAGACATCTTGAAAGGGAACCACATGTTTAAGGAGCATTGTCAAATCACGTTCGCTCCCGACCCATGTTCAGAGGTAATCATTGTTGAATCGGAGGAGAAGGTCACAACAGCCGATGGACCTAGCAACCTTACCGTCAAGGCCGTCAGCGAAGAAGCCGTTTCTACCGCCAAGTCTCCACGAAAGAACAACAAGAAAAAGAAATCCAACAAGGTTATGATTGAAGATAAGAATGCGTTTCCTGATCTTCCTGGAACTAAAACAGCCAGTGACATTGATAACCAGCAAAACGCGAAGCCAGTGGAATGGAAGAAGCCGTCGCCTCCTCCTGTCCGCCGAACCCAATCTGGAGATATTCTTGAATCTAAAATGCCGGTGAACGAAGTCGAAGAAGAAGAAGAAGATGCTAATGCTAATGATACCCCCGCTAAGAAGCGTAACAGTGTCGCCTTCTAATTAACTTGCTTGTACTGATAACTGTATATCATAGTGGCATATGTTTGGGCATGTAACTTGGTTCTTGATTTTTTTTCTTTGGTTAGCAGTTGATGTCGTAACTACAGCCGGCAAGTAATGGGTGTTTGTGTGTTGTGATGGGATGTGCATGGTTGTATGGCATGGAGATACCCTTTATTCGATTTGTGGTACTGTTTCTGTTCAATCTTTTGTGTTTCAGTACTGTAACTTTATACCCACATTGTCATGTTTCTTTTACTTTATGGTATTAGTGGAATGAGAGTCTATAGTTATCTCTGCTCAAAACTTCTATCTTACACGCAATTTTATCTCCAACAATGTGACCTTACAATCTTGATTCTCACGTAGTTACTTCAGACAGAGGGCTTGAGGTTGATTTGTCGTGCAAATATGCATGATAGCTACAGCGAACTCTATCCTACCCAAAGGGGAATCAACAATATTCTGGAAGACTGGAAGAAAATCGCCTATTACCACCCGAGTAGGGCGCAGTTTGCTGATGACAGCTATCGGTACCTGCATGCAATGTAAGATTAGTGCTATCATTTGAAAATCTCCCAGCACTCCGCTGCCCACTAAATCTCTACTCATTCCCACCAACTACGTAAAACATCGCCGCCCTAGACTCCATGAATCAAAGTTCAAACTCACTTCCGACTCAGAATCCACAAACTGCTTGTCTACGTATGAAAAATTAGCAATTCAACAAGGCAGGATGGCCGAGTGGTTAAGGCGCTGGTTTTAGGTCATTACCATGATCAAATCACCAGTTGGAAACTTCGTGGGTTCAAATCCCACTCCTGTCATTATTCTTTTTTGCCAGTTCTGCGTGCCGGTATGTAGTTTCATCAAAGATGTGCGTAATGCATTCGTTTTGTAATCTAAAATGGTGGGGCAAATTTTTTATTCTGTAGATGGTGGATAGCCCTTGGTGGCTGCTGAATTCTACGCTGATGCCGGTAGGGTTGGTTGCCCTGGTGATATGCTGCATGCAGGTCGCTCGCGCTATGCATTGCGTGCGATGGATCGTGTTGGCGTGCATGCGGTATTAGTGATGAGAGTGATACGTGATGCATAGCGAGGATGAATGCACACGACACAACTGGTTGCGTAGAAGTATGGTAGATGAATGGTGCCTTAATGGTATTGAGTTAATTCTGATTGATATTCTGTATCTATTGTTAGCAAGTTGTATTTGATGTTGATAATTGGTTAGACAGGCCATGGCATGGTTGATTCAATAGATCCCTGGGTTCCGACGAGGCTGGCTGTGAGACTGTCATGTCCGTGATGTTGATGGTGATAGTAGTGTGATCATAGTTATTGTTCATAGTTCTCGGTCCTGGGCGCCCTCGCAGAAATGGGAAATGATGGTAGTGAGAATAGTAATTTGAGACTTGTTAGCGACACGGCCGGCATATTACCTCCGGCGATGGATGTATTATGCAAGGAGGATGTTCGTTGATTTGGTTGTAGGTGGCCGGCGTAGTGTCGATGGTAGTTGATTGTAGTATTTCCAAGTGGTTGATGGTATTTGTCTTTCCTGAGAATGTTTGGTTTGGTCCTTACTCGAGACTCGCCTCTATGTAGCGCTCAGACACTCGAGGTCTGCTGGTTAAGAGAGAGAGCTTCCTTCTCCATGAATCACCTCCCACACCTGCCGCCCATGTTGAGGAGTGGCTTCAGGCTCTGGAGGCCCGCTGGTTCAGAGGAAACCACGTTTACACGGTAGCCACCCCTCACCTCGTCAGGGAGGGGTGGGCTCAAGCTGGCTCGGGGCCTGCCGCTTCCACGGGTTTGTCGAATCTCCTCTGCGCAGAGCGCCGCTCCCCGAACAGCTATCGATGATGAAAAAAGAGGTCGGAGGCGTGGAGGCGGCATTCTTTTATCATAGAAGTGCCTGAAGCCAGAGCCGGGAGCCCCAGCTCCATATGCGCGCCGCATACCGCGTGGTTACGCGGGCAGTGGAAAATTACCGCGGCTGCCGTTGAAGCTAATTGCGGATGCGAGCGGCGGAGAAGTAAAGTGAATCATACTTTCTCACCGTATCTTCGATTGCCGATATCCGCCACGATATCACTTGTTGTTGTAGAATCTGGATGGCAAGGGTCATCCTGTTGAACCGGGTATGGCTAAAAGAAACTCCTCGAGTCTAGACTCACCTGCTGCTCGGAAAGCTCTGTTTGGGCCGGGCCCTGGCCGAAGTCGCACGAATATCTTGCTCACACCGCCGCACAGTCAACATCTGAATCATAGTTCTACTCAGCGCTGTTACAAATTATCAATAGTACTTCAAGTGGAGAATGGAATACGCTAACGTGTTGCGGGTGTTCGCTTCCGTCATACACCCCAGCTCCGAGCTGAGCTTTACCCCCCTACGGTGTCTTGACATGTTTTTCTAACCCGATTGCCGTCAAATCGAAGAACAATGGAGCTATTTTGCGTTACTGTACTCCAGCACAATAAACTCGCATTACATACGACGCGTTTTTCATTGAGTACGGGAGACCAAATGCGAGACTTCAGGCGTCGTCGACTTCACGTGGGGTCACTCGCGTGTGCTTTTTAATTGAGAATAACACGCGATTTGTATAGATTTTACTTTCCTCGTATAGAACATTTGTTGCAGGTCTTTTAAATTTGGATATACATTCTGTGTACTGCCACTTAGCTTGATGAAGACGGTCGGGGCTGTGCATGTGCGGCTGGGGTTTATGTTTTCTCACTCAAGCCCATAAAAGTGTCGAAAGGTTAACATGCAAACAACCCCGCTCCCTCTTGCACAAAAGCATAATGTTGACTTCTTTGATCCCCAATCTTCGTCCTGTGTGACAGCAACTGGATACATTCTATGTCACCCTTCTTTGGGACCAAACATCACGACAGATCTTCGCCAACCAAAAAGTCGTCAATTCATCTATCGCTACCGGCCATGGACCACTCTGTCGAGCTCAGTCCCATCGAGGCCGTTGAGGCTTTCGAGAACGCTGACAATGCGGACAACGTAACTACACTCCTCCCAACAAAACGGTCTTATCCTATTGTTCCTAACCATAACTAGGAGACACTTGACAGACCCGCTGAGAAGCCTGCCGAAGAAGCTCGCCCAAAGTTAGCTCCCCGTTCAATCCGTCCCATTCGCGGACCCCCATTCGACCGCAACACTCTCACTGCTATCGACGAGGTAATTCATCTCTTTGCTCGACAGTGCATGCTCACCGCTTAACAATTTCAGACCGTCCACGAGCTCTGTGAACAAATCCCCTTCGGTTGCTACACCAGCGCCGAAGCCATTGCCAAAGCCTTGTTGATCAAGCCCGCGGTCGTGCTCGACTCCCTCCGAAAGCTCAAGGTCAATCAAGTCGAGTACCCTCTTCATCGCATCGTTGCAAAGGCCTTTCCTACCGGTTACAAGATTCCAAATACGGATGACTTCGCCAAAAGGAAGGAGATGTTGATGGACGAAGGTGTCAAGATTAACGACAACGGGTACATTTTCGTCACCGTCACGACCGCGTGGGGCGAGATGAAGCATACCGAAGATGTCTGGAAGGGCTTTGATACCCAGGATGTTGTTTGGGAGTTGATGCGCGAGTAGGAGATGGATCAAGCATCATTTCATCAGGCTATATTTGAGTTGGGTTGTAAATTACATAAGCGAGCCTTAGCGACGGGAAATTCAAGAAGCGCCGCTGTATAACAGCAAGCTACGCCCTATCACGAGACTTGAAGGATTCTAGCAGACTTAAGCTGGCCACGGTGAACTGCCTCTTCCATCTGCTCCAGAACCCACTCTCCACGTCTCCTCCATCAAATCGAATCCACCTCCGCCGACAGAACTATCGTTCCAAAAACTTCTCTTTGCCTCCTAAACCTTTTCAATGAATCCAACGACAACTACCTCGAGAGTAGACGAAGGTCTGCAGATTCCTGGGGCGATTGTTCACGACCCTTTCGAAAATTACCATTGGTGGAATGGTGATGTCACGAGCCCGACCGATCCGAACCCGCCGGAATGCTGCATCGCATGTTGTAGTAAGCCGTTGTGCTGCCGACCACGCGACAAATACGAAATTGCATTTATGGTTCTTCGCATGGTCGAATTCGCCATTGGACTCTTTTTTACAATTCCCTTTTTTAGAATGGCAGACATCGTCTACATTATTGAATTCTTGGAATTATCTCCTATTTTTTACATGGTATGTTCCAATCACAAAATAAACATTGCGCTAAACGTTATCGAGGTGTTGTTTCCGGTTGTAACTGGATTACTGATGACGATACTCGGATGCGTCACCCACCCAAGCCATAAGTTTCCTCTGTGGCAAATGTGTGTTGATATTCTTTAACAAAACAATGCTTGAGTATAATGTTAACAAGCAATAGGATTTTGGAGATCGTTTTACAGAGTACAATAGAATGCATCGCCATCGTTGTGCTAATACTGATGGTCTTGTCCGGGACAGATGCATGGGGGATGCTCTTACTGCTTGTACCTCTGATGTATTCTCGCCTCTACCCTCAGCCTGGTTTATACTAATCCTTGAACAGGGTAATCTGCGCTCTTCTCATTGCTCTAGACAGTTATTGTATTGCCAAGCGTCACACGATTCGCAACGAGGACATGAAGGTTCAAAAGACAAGCTTATCGATTGAGATTCCGCAGGTAAACCATCATGAAACTGGGCAGAACAATGGACATGGTTTCTGGCACACAATATTTCCATGGTACTAACATGATAAGAGACCTCTCTGCTGGTCGGATTGAGGATACTTGTCTGTAAATGCAGATTTTTATATGTTTACTGGGTCGTGTATGCTATCGGATGTTGTTGAGGAGGACGGAGATTGAAAGATTAGATAGGAGCTACGAGGAGTTGTAAGAGTTAGATGATATCAATAAAAGCACTCATCAGTAATGGATTTCTCCTTTTACGATCGTCAGCCGTGTTTGTCAATGAATAATACTAAGATTAGACACATAGTAACACTGCTTTCTCATTATGCAGTTAACATAATGAGCCGTATAGTCATTGAAAGCGTTCGCCGACCTGGTTAGTTACCGTACTAGAGTATTTAGTCACCACATCTCACTCATTTCCGTTTGTTCAACACTCACGTTCCACCTCCATTTGCTTAAGTTGTTCGCAACTTCGACCCCTTGCCATAACAAGCCACTTCACTCCATCTATTATTATTATGGCTTACACTTTCACCCTCCCCGATCTCGACCTCAATATCGATCTAGACGCTTTTCTTGATCCGAATCTAGAGCTGGATTCAGAGCTCGCCCAGGAGCTGATCGATCTCGGCTCTCCAGCCACCCCCGTGTCATCCCGTCATTCAAGCCCGAACTCTCTCGGTCTTAGAACCCCATCTGGAAGCAACGAAATGGACCCCGAACTTTCACTCGCCCAGCAAACCCCTCCACCGACCCCTAGCAAGCAGTCGGACACCCACGAAACATGGTACTTGACCCCTCGGTTCACAGCCTCCCTCGGCGAGCACGGAACCAACGCTGAAGCTATCTTCGTCGATGGTGTGGGTCTGCTGTATAAGCTCGACGTTCCTATTCTTCTCGGTGATTGTTGGAGACGGGGACAGGTTCGGAAGCCGAGTGATTGGGCTAGCTTGGAGGCTGCTTCGAGATATCAGGCGTCACTGCAGACGATCCAGCAGGCTTCCGAGAATCAATTTGACGAGTAAGAACCACCTACGATCCGTCGAAGACACGTGCTATCGTATACTGACGTACTGTAGTCCTGTCAGCTTGGCTAAAGCAGATGCGAGACGTCAGATCGAAGAG